TTGAGCACAGAAATATGGACATAATCAGACCGCTAGGGAGGTTAAGAAGAGAGTGACAAGTGATAGAAGGTATACAGTACTTTTTAATTTAGCTTTCCACCAACTTTTATACAACTATTGAGCCCAAAAATAAAAACAATTTTTTTTTGTTAGGCATTTTATTTTTTTTCTTTATAGAAATACAGAATTCTCACTTTTACAACAATACCCCCCTTCTACCACCACCCCCCCCCCCCAGAAAAAAAAAAAAACACACTAAACCAGCCTAGACACATGTTTAAAACCTGCTATCCTACAGTTTTAAGCATGCACCAAAATAAATGCACATTCCACCAAAAACCGATGCATAAAATTAGCCTCACTGCGTTTCATAAATTAAGACCTATTGTAACCCTGATTTTTGTGAATGATCTTGAGAGCAGTTGCAATGGTCTGTATGTAGTGATGATGCCTTGATAAGGAAGGGTTTTAGTTTCATAGCAAGCGCCTGTATTTGTGGTGCAAGATGGCTGCAGCTTTCACTGTTACCCAGTGTGCAGAGAGGGGCAGGGTGCCGCACAGTTATGCAATGTTAATTCCTTGGTGTCACCAGTGTGCGCCATTGTAAAAATATATATGAAAAAAAGTAATATGTCCAAAGGAGTTGCTTATAAAAATGCAGCTCATTTAATGCTCCAAGCAACTGTCTTTGCCTAGGCTTTGACAATGTCATTAGTCTGCTGCAGGCAGGAGAATGCATTTACCCAGTCTTCTCTCCCCAGTGATCAGACTGCAAGGGGTAAGGCTGCAGCAGAGGGGTGATCTGTGTTGGATGTTTATGAAAAATTACCATAGTTTCCGCTCCATAAGATGCACCTTACCATAAGACGCATCTAGGTTTTAGAGGAGGAAAAAAAAATATTCTGAAACAATGGACTGCAGATATAGTACAGGAGATGACCAGAGACTGCAGACGTTTGGGGAGTGGGTACCCGAAATTTGACAGATACCCACTTCCGCTGCGATCGTTCTCCCCATAGTCTTCTTGGACACGTGACAGGCCCCAGAAGACTACGGGGCCATTCACAAAGTGCAGCGCCTCTCATGCATGCGCAGTGGGCACCCGGCTGTAAAGCCGCAAGCTGTCACAGCCGTGTGCCCACACTGAAGATGCCGGCGCCAGGGAGAGAAGATAGCTGGAGAAACCAGCGGTGATGAGGACACCGCTGGACTGAGGAATAGATAGGACCGAGAAGCCGATTCTGCTGCACAGAAGAGCCGAGCGGCCGGCCCAGTATTCTAACGCGACAGCAATGAGGGGAATACTGGGCTGGCTGCTCCATATGATACACAGACATTTCCCACCATTTTTTTTTTGGGGGGGGGGGGGGAGTGCGTCTTATGGAGCGAAAAATACAGTACATAGACAACAGACGTTATATGACTGTCATCTGAGCTGGAATCTCATTGCCCGTTCACATAAATGCGGATTGGATGTGGTCTGAACTGCATCCAATCCGCATGACATGTGAAATAACGTTGCTTCCACTGGTGCTTGTTCACATATGTCCGGCGTACCGGCGGTTTAGAAAGAGTCCTGTCTGATTTCTGAGCAGTGCGGTCAGGTTCAGGTGCGGATTACAGGCCATTGACTTCTATGGGAACTGTTTCTAAACCTGACGTGAACAGGATGAAATCTTGAGCTGATCCTGTATCAACTGGCTATGAAACTCAAGCTTCACTCTGCATCGGATATGCGTGAATCCACTCTTTGTCCTGGAAGTAGACCCTGTTGCTACCCAATCAAAGATGGCGAGCCAGAGAAAAACCAATAAAGCCATTTTCAGGAGGGATACTGTGATAAGCACATGCATCTACTTATCAAGTAAAAGTATATCTGATTCTAGGTCCACTTTATAGAAGGGAATAGCTCTATTTAATAATAAAGAAATATTACAATCAATGAATCACTAGTGGCAAATTATCTTTAAAGCCCAACTGCGTTCAAAATTGTATTTTAGTTTTGGACAGAGTTGGAAAGTGTTAGAGTTAACTGTACCCCTAATTGTGTGATAAAACATCTTTTATGCACAATGCCTTCTTCCCATTACATCTAGAGATAAGAATGTACCTTGTAAAATATAATAACACATTTCATCTACTGTAATTATCACTTCACTAAACCTGTAAAATGTTCATCGCAGTTGAGATATTCAATACGAGGTATGATGGTACGAATCTGAGGATCCAGAAGGCCGAAGGTGAAGATCTCTATCTACATTTGGTATAATATTTCCACAACCACCACATTCACACTGTGCCCCCAGGGAGTGGATATCGGTCATCATGTGACCCCTGTGTACATAGTGCAGTCCGTAGAGTTACTGGGCGGCCAGGCGGCTGTTGTGTACAGTCCGCGCACAAATGTAGTTCAGTCTTGTTCTAGGAGGGTTTGTGTGAAATGCAGCTGGAACTTCCTGAGACGGTTGGCAGCCGTGACCACATAGAAATGTTTCTGCAGGGGAACATGGTGATAACGTTCATGATTTGTGAGTAGTAAGACTTGATGAACAAAATGCAAGAAACATTGGTTGACTTATCTAATGAATCGGTCCACCCCAAAAGTATTCTTTGTACAAACTGGAACTTGGTGACCTGGGTAACTGTTGCCTAATGTCTCTTCAGAAATTTGGTATTGAAGCGATTCTAAAGGTTAATTTTTGGGGTGGGAAATAACAAAACGTCTATACTGACCTACTGTGCGCAGTGGTTTTGCACAGAGCAGCCTGGATCCTCCTCTTCTTGGGTCCCCCGCAGGCTCTCCTGGCTCCTGCTGTCCGGTAGGTGCCCCCACAGCAAGCAGCTTGCTATGGGGGCACCCGCTGCTCCGTGTGTCCGTTTACACATGGAGCTGCGTCTTGGCCCTGCCCCTCTCATCAGCTGACTGGCTGTGATTGACAGCAGTGGGAGCCAATGGCTCCCCGCTTGCTGTCTCAGCCAATGAGGCAGAGACCCGGGGCAACCAAGGCTGTCATTCACAATGCTAGATCGCAAAGAGACTCAAGAAAGTATTGAATATAGAATGCGTGAAGGTAAAAAAACCTTCAGCCTTTACACCGCTTTGAGATCTCTCTGTTACAGTTCCTGGCTCTGGTTCCACCCATTCGCCATCAAATTCTGAATTTCCTCTTGCAATAACTTTCAATGTTAACCTAACCTGGCCTAAAAGTGTTGAAATGCAGATCCCTTGTGCTTGCAAGTACCTGTGCTAATTTTCAAATTGGTCCTAGTAGGACCCTATGCCTTCTCCCTGCCATTATGCTGTCAAGTGCTAGAGCTTCAGTGGGCAATAGAGGTTCTGGCATTTGGCAATGGATGGAGCTAAAACCCAAGAAATATATTTAGACTGTATGGCCAAAGAGGTGTAGACACCTGACCGTCATATGTCTATGTTGGACATCCCAGTACAATCTCGGCATTAATATGGAGTGCCCCTTCCCGTTGTGCCTACTGTAGCCTCTACTCTGCTAGGAAGGCTTTCCACAAATGTGCACATGGGAAGGTTTGCCCATTCACACAAAAAGGGAAGACCTAGCTCACAGCTGGTGTTCCAAGTGAGTTAGACCAAGGTTCAGTGTTCAGTGAGTTAGACCAAGGTTTGCACAGGCCACTTGAGCTCCTCCTCACCAAACTCCTCAAACCATGTCTTTATGGAGCTGCCATTGTGCACAAGAGCACCTTCATACTGGGGGCGTAACCCAAACTGTTCACATAAAGCAGGGGTGTTCAACCTTTTGACCTTCCTGGGGTGCAATGGAAGAAGAGGAATTGTCTTGGGTCACACATACAATACACTAAAAAATATGGACAGCTGATAAACAGAAAGTCAGGTAGATCACAAGTTAATGATCACTGATATAGATAAATCACCCCTGTACCCAGCAATGCCAATGGCCCATCATCCACACCCATGACCTAGTATAGCTTATAGGATACACCTGTACCCAGCAATACCAATAACCCACCCCATGATCCTAGTATAGCCCACACATCACACCTGTACCCAAGTTAGCCCATATATCACCCCTATGTTTAGAAATGCCAATGGCCCATCACCCACACCAGTTATCCTAGTACAGCTCCTACATCAACCCCATGATCCTAGCACAGCCCACACGTCACCCCTGCACCTAGCAATGCCAAAGGCCCATCACCCAAACCTATGCTGCTAGTACAGCTCATACATTACCCAGCAACATGAATGGCCCATCCCAAGATCTTAGAGTACCCCCTAGATCTAGCCAGGTTTGTCCATGTTGGTTGCCACAGTGGCTATGCTTGGATGGCACCCCCAGGGTCACTCCAGACATGCCCAGGCCACACGCGTAACTCTTTGGGCTGCATGTAGCCTGCAGCCCATGGGTTGGACACCCCTGCCATAACGTTTGAAAAGCACTATTGTCTAAAATGTCTTTGTATGCTGTAGTATTACCAGTACACTTCAGTGCAAACACCTGAACTCAATCATTTGAAGGAGTTTACACATACTGTTGGCCATAAAGGTAAGGTGTGATAGTCAGATGTGTACAAAGTGTGTCCATATGATCCATACAGTGTATACAATAGTGGAAAGTTGGACCATCAGATCTTCAATAAACACCTATGATCATTTCAGCCAAACCAGTAAGCTCGTGCAAATGCACACACCCCTCACTCCAGCCTTGTCTTGAAGAAATACCAGTAGGTTATCCATGAAATTTCCTTTTAAATAATATATTTCTCCCTCATCCAAAATCATTTGCTGTCTACAGAGATTATGGTGTGACCATAGATGTATAACTGTTACCTAAACCGATCAATATATCTGCAGGACTGGTTTTCAGTCATGTTTATGAGGTTCCTGTACTTGACAGGAAGATAAATTAGATACACGAGAGGTATGGAGGACTTACTTTCCATTTCTTTTGGGCCATGTATTTCTGAAGCATGATCTGTGACTTCAAGCGAACTTTGTATTTCTTGGCTTTTAGGGGCAAATTCGTAAGCCACTCATGCTTTAGGCATTGTCCGGCGCTCAGTCTACAGCTAGAGGTACAAAACAACAAAAACAACCAATAAAACATGAAGGTCAACAGTCACATGGTCTTGCTGTACACATTTGCTTCTTTATGCCCATGTTCCTTTCTCTGTACAGGAGAGTTCAACCTAAAAGTTCACTCACTAGCCACTGCGCTATAAACAAAAAAATGCAAAAAATTAAAAAAAAAAAAGTTTCTTTGTTTCTATTATAACATTTTTCAAACAGGTAATTTTTCTCCTTCACTGATATGCTTTGATGAGGCAGCACTGATGGGCACTAATAGGCGGCACTGATAGGGCACTAATGATATAGGCAGCACTAATAGGCAGCATTAATGAGGTGGCACTGATAGGCGGCACTAATGAGGTGTCACGGATAGGCGGCACTGATAGATAGCACTGATAGGTGGCACTGGCTGGCATCACTGCTGGGCACTGACTGGCATCACTGCTGGGCACTGACTGGCGGCACTGCTGGGCACTGACTGGCACAACTGCTGGGCACTGACTGGCACAACCGCTGGGCACTGACTGGCAGCACTGCTGGGCTGCACTGATGGGCACTCGTGGGTGGCACTTGTGGGCACAGGTGGGTGGCACTAGTGGGCACAGGTGGGTGGGCACAGGTGGATGGCACTTCTGAGCACAGGTGTGTGGTATTGCTGGGCGGCACAGGTGGGCGCACTGCTGGGCACAGGTGGGCAGAACTGATGGGTGGCACTGCTGGGCACTGATCATCAGGGCACTGATGATCAGTGCCCTGATGATTGGCGCCAATCCCTGCTCTGACAACTGCCAGTTCTTGGCAGTACTTTCCTCATGCTCTGACAGCGTGAGGAAAGTGCAGCCGAGAACTGGCAATTGCATTTCCCGGTGATCAGCGTGTCATTGGACTAGGCTGATCACGTGGTAAAAGGCCGCTGTGATTGGCCTTTTACCACATCACGTGATCAGCTGTGCCCGTAGGAAAGCGCATTCTGGGAGGATGTCATATGACGCCCTCCCAGAACTGGCCGGCCGCAGTGTAGCTGTCATTCGGCTATCTGCAGTCAGCAGGTGGTTAAAGAGACAATGGAGTGGATTTACTAAAACTGGAGCACTCAGAACCTGGTATTTGGTAGCCAATCAGCTTCTAGCTTCAGCTTGTTCAATTACACTATGACAATAAAACCTGGAATATGATTGGTTTCTATGCAGAACTGCAGCAAATTTTGTACCATGCAGTTTTAATAAATAAACCCCAAAGCCACTTTGCCCATATCTGCAGAGACCCAGTCTTCTAGGTATGAGAGAGCACATGTGATAATGCCCGGGCCTGAGCAACCCATCAGCAGGTCTGAACACTGCTGTGCGAATTGGGCGCATGATGTGACCCATGTCTAGATGCCAACACCAGAGCGGTGTAGAGGTAGTGCTGATCAGTAAGTATAGAAGCTTGCAGAGGTGGGCTATCTTGAGACACAATCACTTTGCCCCGGATTGGACAGTGTCTTTCTAAAGTAAATCCTTGAAATAGCCTCAGGGGACCCCTGCTAAAAGTATTCCATCAAGGGTCTTTGGGAAGAAGGCCCCTTACATTGGTTGTCAGTGGAAAATTGCCCTCTTATAGGCGTGGTCAGAATGCCAACCTTACAGACAACTAAGGCCCCTTGCACATGGGGCCATCCAGCTGCTGTGTGTCCTTCCTGGTGTTTTAGTGAGCCTAGGAAAGACAGGTTCAGTGGCCAGCCCCACTGCCTGCAGGTTGTCAAAGTCTATGGCTGAATACAGGTCTTCTGTGTTCCATGCATTGGTCCCTGAATGCACAGGGCCCCAAACGCAGGTACCATTCAGTACAGCATTCAGCCCTGTTCAGCGGCTTTTGAGAAACTACACGCAGCAGGGCTAGACATTGCAAGTCATTATACACCAGATGTACATCAACTAGACACCGTGTGCAAGGTGCCTTAAAAGATCATGTCATGTAAAAGGAGTAACTTTGACAAGTGTCATTGGAGCCAGGATTATGCAGGAACCATCATATGGGAGCTCAATCATCTACAGCTCAAGGAACCCCTAGCTACCACTGGAGGAACCCATATGTTGCATGGAACCATGCTTGAGAATGGCTGCTCCAAAGCAACCCCATGACAGCCAGGGATGGGTCATGTAATACAGCCATTTGGCTAAGAAGTTGATCATTTGAAATCTGCACTATACTGGAGTCCTACTGTAATGGAATCTCCTTCCTCCAGCTGTTATCTGTGGTAGGACATCCCTGCTTTGTAATGTCATTGAAGATGCTCTTTATATTTTATTACCTCTTTTCTTTGAGCAAAAGTCCTGAGATGAAGTCCTTGGCTTCTTCGGACACCTGATCGAATGCCTCCGAGTCAAAATCCCAGTTGCAGTTGACAATGTAGTTCATGGTCTCTGCGTCACTTTCTCCCAGAAATGGAGATAGACCGCTGAGCCTAACAAAGACAAAATTAGCAGAATTAAAGTAAAAACCTCTGCATCAGACAACCATGAGGTCTGCTGGAGAGAAACACAAAAGATTCATTTACCTACCACCCTCCCCACCTACACATACTCACCTTCCCTTTGCTGCTACAACATTCTTCGTTTGAAGGGATCAAGGGAGAAAGTCCTGGGTAAACCAAGTCAAGATTTAAAGCCAACATGGGGTAGAGACTGCTTTTCCTCCAACGTATGACATAAAAATATACCTAATGCATTAAGCACAGGTTCACTTTGGACTTCCATGGCCGAGCAGGTGCATCCAAGCCTTACATCACCAAGTGAAATGCAAATCATCATATGCCGTGGTGTAAAGCACGCCACCACTGGACTCTAGAGCAATGGAGATGTGTTCTCTGGAGTGACCAATCACACTTCTCTGTCTGGCAATCCGATAGACGTGCCTGCGTTTGGCAGTTGCCAGGAGAATGGTTTTTGCCTGACTGCATTGTGCCAAGTGTAAAGTTTTGGTGAGAGGGAGATTATGGTGTGGGGTTGTTTTCAGGGCTTAGGCTTGGCCCCCTAGTTCCAGTGAAGGGAACTCTTAAGGCCTCAGCATACCAAGACATTTTGGTCAATTTCATGCTCCCAACTTTGTGGGAAGAGTTTGGGGATGGCCCCTTCCTGTTCCAACATGACTGTGCACCGCACACACTGCACAAGTCAAGATTTAAAGCCAACATGGGGTAGAGACTGCCTTGCCACCAACGTATGACATAAATATATACCTAATGCTTTAAGCACAGGTTCACTTTGAACTTCATCCTTCGCATGATAAAACCCATTAACATGTTTGCATTGCAGCAACACATGAACATGCATTACCAAGTTGCAGTGCCATTCATTAAGAATGGCACCCCAGTGCTATAAGGCAACACACAGTTGTGTTAGAAAAAAAAGATCTCACATCCATTTTTTGGCACATTATGGGTGTGTTGGTAGTCCATTCATTTATATTATTATTATACAGGATTTATATAGCGCCAACAGTTTGCTCAGCACTTTACAATATAACGGGAGACAATACAGCAACAATACAAGAGGGATAGGAGGGCCCTGATCCTCAGAGCTTACATTTACATAGGCTGCCTTAATACAATGCATTTTCAGGACATAATGTGCCTTAATAATAATGTGCCATGGGCAGCACAGTGGCTAAATGGTTAGCACTTCCACCTGGCAGTACTAGGGTTGTTGGTTCGAATCCCAGCCACGGCACCTCTTGCCTGGAGTTTGCATGTTCTCCCTGTGCCTGCGTGGGTTTCCTCCGGGTACTCCAGTTTCCTCCCACACACAAAGACATGCTGGTAGGTTGGATCCTGTCTAAATTGGCCTTAGTATGTGTATGTATGAATGTGAGTTAGGGACCTTAGATTGTACGCCCCTTGAGGGTTAGGGACTGATGTGAATGTACAATATATATGTGAAGAGCTGCGTAAATTGACTGCGCTATATAAGTACCAGAAATAAATAATAAATAAATAATACACTACAGAGAAGTAAATAATCCCCTATTGTTCTTAACCCTAACCCCTTATCAAAACCTTTAGGCCCCATTCACGTTAGGCGATTTGAAATCACAAGCAGAATCAATGCGATGCACATTTGGTCACCATTATATTAATGGCAGCCCAAACGAGGTGCAATTTTGCCATGAATCACGCAGGAAAACAAGCGGTTAAGAATCATACTAAGCTTGTTGCCCAAAAAGAAACAGGAACTACTTTTGGGCGACAATTGCACATAGGGCAGCCCATTGAAGTGGATGGGCTGCCCTATGTGAGACACGCATTTCGGCATGTCAATTCCGCTTGAAAAATAGTGAGCGGAACATTTGTTCCTGCTATGCGAGGTCTGAATGGGGCCTTGAACATATCCTTACTCTATAACCCTAAAGCTGATTGTTTTCACAGCAAAGATGTAACAGGATAAAAATTGTACTATCACACTGATAATGAATAAAAAACTTAGCAACAAACTTAGCAAAATAAGGAACTTATTCACTCATATCTGTAACTCCCTCCTCATTGGCCTACCTCATCGCAGGCTATCCCATCTTCAGTCTATCATGTATGCTGCTGCCAGACTCATCCACCTCAATAACCGTTCCGTATCCACCACCCCTCTCTGCCAATCCCTCCACTGGCTCCCAGTTGCCCAACAGATAAAATTCAAAACTCTGACAATGACATATAAAGCCATCCACAACACTGCCCCAACTTACATAACCGATCTTATCTCTAAATATCACCCAAACCGTACACTCCGCTCCTCACAGGAACTCTTACTCTCTACCTCCTTTATCTCCTCCTCCTATGCTCGTCTCCAAGACTTCTCCAGGGCGTCTCCCATCCTCTGGAACTCCCTACCCCAATCTATTAGACTATCACCTACTCTACTTGCCTTTCGGCGATCACTGAAAACCTTTCTCTTCAGGGAAGCCTATCCCGCCCTCTGCTAATTCTGGAATCCTCTACTCTTCCAACCAGTCCATCCCCCACAGTGACTACCTACTGTACCATTCACCCCGCCCTCCTAGATTGTAAGCTCCAAGGAACAGGGCCCTCAAATCCCTCTTGTATTGAACTGTATTGTTACTGTATTGTCTCCCACTGTAATGTAAAGCGCTAAGAAAACCGTTGCCGCTATATAAATCCTATATACTAATAAAAATAATAATCAATGTAACAAATCTTCTGCACCTGGTTGCTCAGTAACAAATGTAGTGCAGCAAAAGCCCCAGATCCGCCGACCCACTGGGTAACTTACAGCATGTAGGTAATGACCCCCACACTCCACATATCGGTTGGGAAGGACACAAAGTCGTAATTCACCACTTCCGGGGCCAAAAACTCTGGTGTTCCAAAGTTCACCTTCAGCTTCTCTCTTGGCTTGTACCTGAAAAACCAGTGCAGGATATTAAAGTGACAAAAAATGATGTCCTTATCCTCCAAAAATAATCCATACACATCCACTACTTGTGCTCCATGCATACTAAAAATCCCATAGTCCATCTCAGGAGCAAACATGAGAGGGTGGCTACATCCCTACATACAGTGGGACATGGAGAACCAACACAGCCACTCTCTAACAGAAAGTCAGATCACAGTAGGGAAAAAAAAATTAAATTTGGAGATTAGTTGGAGGCTGAGAGCTATAGCATGAACTTTCTGAGTTAAGAATACATACCTGAATAGGAAAATAAATTAGGTGTGTAGAGTTTTTAGGAAAAAGACAACCAGCCAACATGTTTCCTTTTGTTTTGGATAAAAGGGGGAAGAAATATGTCTTAAGTTTTTGTTGCTGTCAGTGCCCCTGTTAGGGAGCCCTCCCCTATCCTATAGAGACACAGAGTTGATATATATATGATGATTTCTGTAGGTCTTTAGCTGACACTCTGGGATTCTTCTTTACCTCATGCAGCATTCTGCGCTGTGCTCTTGCAGTCATTTTTACAGGACGACCATGCCTAGGGAGAGTAGCAACAGTGCTAAACTTTCTCCATTTGTAGACAGTCTGTCTTACCGTGGACACATGAACATCAAGGCTTTTGGAGATACTTTTGTAACCCTTTCCAGCTTCATGCAAGTCAACAATTCTTGATTGTAGGTCTTCTGAGAGCTCTTTTCTGCGAGGCATGGTTCACATCAGACAGTGCTTCTTGAAACCAGTAAACCCAAAACAGGTGTGTGTTTTTTAAGGGCAGGACAGCTGTCAGCAACACATCCAATATCATCCCACTGATTGGAGTCAAGGTTGGCTCACTCCTGGCTCCAATTAGCTCTGGGAGAAGTCATTAAGCTAGGGCATCACATACATTTTCCTCCCTGCACTGTGAATGTTTACATATTATGTGCAATTAAACCATGGCAACATCTAATGTTTGTGTAGTATTATGTTCAGCAGACTGTGTTCTTCTATTGTTGTGACTTAGATGACGTTCAGAGCACATTTTATGCCCAATTCATGCAAAACTCCACGTAATCCCAAGGGGTTCACATACTTTTTCTTGCAACTGTATACACACACCGGCCACTTAATTAGGTACACCTTGCTAGTGCCAAGAAAATCTCCCCCAGACCATGACACCACCACCAGCCTGAACCGTTGATCCAAGGCAGGATGGATCCACGCTTTCATGTTGTTTGCACCAAATTCTGACCCTACCATCTGGATGTCGCAGAAACCAGTCTGCCCATTCTCCTCTGACATCAACAAGGCATTTTAGTCCACAAAACTGCCACTCACTGGATATTTTCTCTTTTTCGGACCATTCTCTGTAAACTCTAGAGATGGTTGTGCGTGAAAATCCAAGCAGATCAGCAATTTTTGAAAGACTCAGACCAGCCCCTCTGGCACCAACAACCATGCCATATTCAAAGTCTCTTAAACTTTGGGGGTATTTAAATATTAAATATTGCTTTTGGGTTTTTTTTTTTGCTATTGTATTTGTTAATTTACCGGTACTACACATTTTATACATGGCCATGAAATTATACATTAGATTAATTTATATAATTTTTAAATCTTTATAGCCCTCAGATTCATTTTATCTTTAGTTTTAGGGGTAAAGGTTACCTGAAATCTGAAATTTGCTGCCTTATCAACTGCTGGATTATGAGCGCTGTCTCCCAATTCCTGAGGTCACATAGCAGTCCAATAACAGATCAATATCTGGCGGTTTGCTTTCATTCAAAATTAAATATATGAAATCTCATCCTTGTCTCCTAGAACAGGAAGGTTCCTGGCGCATGATGAGTTGAGTATATAAAGAAGGGGTCAGAAAGTATAAGTAGCAGCGTCTATCTTTATATTAACTCCTTATATTCCTCTGCCCTGTGGACTGTAAAACATTCCCATATATCAGAGCTGTGCGTGTTTAAATCCCTGTTAACTATGATAAGAGACTGTTTACCTTCTTGCTAGTCCGAAATCAATAATCTTGATTTGGTTTCCAGTTCGACTGACGCACAAAATATTTTCAGGCTGAAAAAAAAAAAAAGGAATTTAGATTAATATCAACAATACATGTTACTTAGTTTTACCAAGTCTTTACTTTTTTTTTTTTTTTTAATCAAAATAAGTCTTTAAATGTAATAGTTATAAAAAAAAAAACTTCTTACAGAAAACATTTATTGGTGCGGATCTTGATTTAGAACTAAAGGCAAAGCTTTTTTTTTCGTCATTTTGGATAGGGTTAGATTTTTTTTGCCATTTGTGTTCCATTGGGGAGATTTAATCTCACTTCCTGTTCCATAGCCAAACAGGAAGTGAGAGGAAATCCCTCTAAAGTGAGAAGGTCCCGGTTGTCACCAGAATTAGTGTCCGCCTTGGAAGATTTCCCCTCTGTTCCTGTTCTGGTGTAAACCCAAAATTTGGGATTTTTATTTCTCAATGATGATGGCAGAAAGCGGCACAGACAGCAATAAAAACCCGGCAGGGGGTCTTATCCCTCTCCGTTCTATCCTAAGAGGAAGTCTTGTTTTTTAGTTAGGACTCATGTACACTGCAGCTGATAAACTCACATTCAGGAGCTGTTCAGCAATTTTTTCAGCAGCCCCTGAACTCACCCTAATGTTTTCCTATGTGTCCATTTAAACATCTTCGTTTACAGTCGTTTACAGGCAGTTGAGTTTACAGTCATTTTTTTGAACACACCAAACTTGCGTTCAGCAGTCGATTTTATCAGCGTTTCAAATGCAAAACGCAGCAAATCGCGTTTATAAGCGTTTGCGTTTGAAATTGTTTTTTAATTCTTCCAGTTCCCGATGCTGTCCAGAGCCTTTTTTCATCATGATAGGGAGAGAAGAAACGGCTCCAATAGTGTAAATCCAATAAAACACTTATTTAGAAGAAGGTAATAAAAATTCACATAAAGATCTTGTATACAGGCATTCCAATGAAAGCTCCACCAAGCTCCACTTTAGCAAGGATTTCACCAAAAGCAGGAGCGCGCATGCGCAAATACGTGACAGCCTCCAGCTTCATCCAACGCGTTTGTCATAGATGACGTTATCAAGGGTACCCTTGAAAGAATTCAGGCCTTCTACTGAGACTTCCTGTAAGAAAGACCGCTCACTGCTGATCTCTCTCCTTGTACAGGGTGACTGGTCTTGTCTCCGCCCCCTCCTGTAGTTTTCTGTTTTGGGTGGCTATCTGCTGGGCACCTCCCACAACTCTGCTCTCTGCACAGGCTATGTACAGCACAGCGATGATGTCACTGCAACTTTTACAGGGTAGTATTTGGGTTTGCAGAGCCATCTGGTGCAAGGATTTAAGTCCTTCTTGGCTACTAAGTAATATATTTTATTGAAAGTTTTGAAAAATTTTAGGAGTTCAGCTTTAAAAATAAAAAATGTATAAAATAAAACTGACAAAATTAAAAGTGGTTTGAAATCCCAGCTTTTTTTAAAAAAAGAAAGAAATCAAAGTCAAGGCAACAAAGAGGAATTAGGAATGTGTGAATTTTATACCATGTATTTCTATTTATGGATCCAAATGTTAAATTGCCAGATGGTGTCTATTTCTGAGAAAAAAAAACAAAAATGCTGACAGAGGATGGGAGACAGCGATGATAATGGTGACAGCACATGAACAAAGTTTGTGAAGAGCTAAATTGCTGCCCAAAAGTTATGCCCTCACCTTCAGGTCTAGGTGGAGTATGTACTGCTGGTGCAAGTAATAAATCCCTTCGCAGATCTGTTTGGTGAACATTATGGCATCCAGTTCTGTCAGATGGTAGTTCTCATCTGTGATCCGGTCAAATAATTCTCCACCGTCCAAACTGAGAAAAACAAAATAAAATACAAATTAAAATTGTCAACATTTTTTCATCTTATTTATTCTTTGTTGCATCTTGGCCCCGCAAATCTCCTCCGCCCTCTTTGCAGCCACTTCATGTCTGCATGGCTACATAGCATTTCTAAGGGTGGGTTTCCTGATGGTGACAACAGTAAACCATGCCTAGGTAATGTGTTAAAGCGGAGCTCCACCCAAAATGGGAAGTTCCACTTTAAGCATTTTCCGCATTTGTCCGCAGCTCCCCATGAAGGATTGGCACCTTTGGGGATCGGGGGGAGCAGGTAGCTGAATTTGACAGGTACCCTCTCCCACTTCCGCTGCGATCGGAAGCGGAAGTTGTTCTCCCCCCCTCCCTCCTCAAAGTCTTCTGGGACACGTGACAGGTCCCAGAAAACTACGGGGCCATTCACAAAGTGCAGCGCTTCTCGTGCAGTGGGCACCCAACTGTGAAGCCGCAAACTGTCACAGCCGGGTGCCCACACTGAAGATGCCAACGCCTGGAATACAGGACGGCTGGTGAAAGCTGCCGTGGTGAGGATACTTCTGGACCGAGGGACAGGTAAGTGGCTGTATTTTAAAAGTCAGCAACTACAGTTTTTGTAGCTGCTGACTTTTTTTTTTTTTTTTCAGGTGGAACTCTGCTTTAAAATGGGCACTTGTATTCTCTATTACAAGCCCAAGTGACAACGCAGGAAAGCAACTTGGAGACAAGGGCACAGCATTGTCACCCCTTTAACAGGAAGTGCCTGAACAAAGACCTTTATGGCTGGATCACCAGGGTTTATTTATTGAAAGCTGCTGGTTTAAAAAGGTTAAAACTTACTTTTGAAATATTTTTAAAGCTTCTGTGAGATTATACAGAGAGGGTTTACAGCTACAGTGAAGGAAATGTGTATTTGCTCCCCGGCTGATTTTGAATGTTTGCCCACTCACAAAGAAATGATCAGTCTAAAAATCGAATGTTCGGTGTATTGTAACACTGAGAGACAGAATAGCAACAACAAATTCAAAAGAATTGCATGTCTAACAAATGATGACTGATTTGCATGTTCATGAGGGAAATAAGTATTTGATCCCCTATCATTCAGCAGGATTTCTGGCTCCCAGGTGTCTTTCATACAGGTAACAAGCTGAGATTAGAAGCAGTCTCTTAAAGGGAGTGCTGCTAATCTCATTGTGTTACCTGTATAAAAGACACCTGTCCACATGAGCAATCAAACCATCAGATTACAAACTCTCCACCATGGCAAAGACCAAAGAGCTGTCCAAGGAGGTCAGGGACAATATTGTAGACCTACACAAGGCTGGACTGGGCTACCAAACTATGGCCAAGCAGCTTGGTGAGAAGGTGACAACAGTTGGTGCAATCATTCGCAAATGGAAGAAACACAAAACAACTGTCAGTCTCCCTAGATCTGGTGCATCATGCAAGATCTCACCTCGTGGATTGTCAATGATCATGAGAACAGTGAAGAATCATCCCAGAACTACATGTGAGGATCTTGTCAATGATCTCCAGGCAGCTGGGACCACAGTCACCAAGAAAACAATTGGTAACACACTACACTGACAAGGACTGAAATCCTGCAGTGCCCGCAAGGTCCCTCTGCTCAAGAAAGCCCATGTCCAGGCCCGTCTGAAGTCTGCCACTGAACATCTGAATGATGCAGAGGAGGACTGGTTGAGTGTGTTGTGGTCAGATGAGACCAAAATCGATCTCTTTGGCATCAACTCAACTCGCCGTGTTTGGAGGAGGAGGAATGCTGCCTATGACCCCAAGAACACCATCCCAACTGTCAAACATGGTGGTGGACACATTGTGCTTTGGGAGTGTTTTTCTGCTAAGGGGACAGGACAACTGCACTTCATCAAAGGGACGATGAATGGGGCAATGTACTGTCAAATCTTGGGTGAGAACCTTCTTCCCTCAGCCAGGGCATTGAAAATGGGTCATGGATGGGTGTTCCAGCATGACAATGACCCAAAACACACGGCCAAGGCAACAAAGGAGTGGCTCAAGAATAAGCACATTAAGGTCCTGGAGTGGCCTAGCCAGTCTACAGACCATAATCCGATTGAAAATCTGTGGAGGGAGCTGAAAGTTCGAGTTGCCAAACGTCAGCCACCAGGGGGTGAAGGGCTCTCGGGGGCCTGGAGGTATTGAGAGGAGTTGAAGTGCACTGCAGGCCAATATGGGAGGTTGCGTGGCACTATGGGAGCTGGGAGCCACTGTGGGAGGTTAGAAGGTCAGCAGCTGGTTGAGGTCTGGAAGGAGGGAGATTGAGGGGCATTGTAGGGGCTGATGGCTTTCAGGGGACTAGGAGGCACTGCAGAGAGTTTAAGGGCACTGGGCACCAATATGAGAGGGTGCGTGGGACTATGGCAGTTGGGAGGCTGTGGGAGTTTAGGAGATCAGCAGTTGGCTGAAGGTCTGGAAATAGGAAGATTTAGGGGCATTGTGGGGGCTGAGGGCTCTCATGGGACCATGGGGTACTGAAGGGAGTTTAGGGGCACTGGGGGCAGAAGAGTGTTGTGGGTCATTGATAGGCCATGTGGGAGCAAAGGGCTCTCAGGGGCCTGGAGGTACTGTGGGAATTGAAGAGCACTGCAGGTCAATATGGGAGGGTGCATGGCACTATGGGAGCTGGGAGCCACTGTGGGAGGTTAGAAGGTCAGCAGCTGGTTGAGGTCTGGAAGGAGGGAGATTGAAGGGCATTGTGGGAGCTGATGGCTTTCAGGGGACTAGGAGGCACTGCAGAGAGTTTAGGAGCACTGGGGGCCAATATGACAGGGTACGTGGGACAATGGGAGTTGGGGGGCTGTGGAAGTTTAAGAGATCTACAGTTGGCTGAAGGTCTGGAAATAGGAAGGTTTAGGGGCATTGTGGGAGCTGAGGGCTCTCAGGAAACCTGAGGGCACAGTAGCGGGTTGCGTGGCACTGCAAGCCAATATAAGAGGTGTGGGTGACACTATGGGACCTGGGAGGCACTGTGGGAGGTAAGGGGATCAGTTGCTACTTGGAAGCCTTGGAGGAGGGAGACTCGGACCCAGCAGTGGGCCATGGCCGCCGGTTGAGAAAAACTGCTTTATCAAGACCTACAAAGAATGGGAGCTATCAGTCCTAATGCTGCAAAACGTGTCTAGACGCAGCAAAATGCAGCTAAACGCTAATGCGGAAAAACTCATGTTTTTAACACGACTTTATACAGCCAATGCTACTGGCGTTTTTAAAAGGTGCATGAGGCCTGAATCTTGAAAAGTCTGTTGAGCCATGTTAGTAGACATGTGAACCCATACTGCTTGAAAAGTCCGCTTTACAATGTTTTGTGTCTGTTCATTGTGCTTTGTTAGAAATTGTATGAAAAATAAGAACCACTGGTGTAGCCTGCATTCACACTTGAGCGTTTTGTAGCTTGAACCTCCAAGCTCCAAAAACACTCAAACTTAAAAAATCAATTGTTCCCTAGGGTGCCTTTTCAGGTGATCAGGTGTGAACAGACACCATGGAGAACAATTGATTTTTTAAGTTCGAGTTTCAAGCTACAAAATGCTCAAGTGTGAATGCAACCTTAGGGTTCATGTATACTGAAGCTCCTAAACTGATGTTCAGGAGCTTTTCTGCGCTTTTTTCAGCAGCCCCTGAACTCTCCCTAATGTTTTCCTATGTGTCCATGTACACATCATCGTTTACAGTCATTTACAGGCAGTTGAGTTTACAGTAGTTTTTTTAAACGCACCAAACTTGCGTTCAGGAGTAGTTTTTATCAGCGTTTCAAGCACCAAATGCTTGTAAACGCAGTTGACTGTGTTTAGAAGCGTTTTTTAACTGTTCCATATCCAGATGCTGTCCAGAGCCTTTTTCCATCTTCAGAAATGCATGCAAAGCATTTTCCATGTATTCAAATGGACCCGGTACACCAGCGCAGTCAGTTCCAGGTTTTGCGTGAAGGAAACAATGGTAGAACGCGCCGCATTATGCTCATGATGGGATCCATAGTGACTACAATCAGAAAAGACAGGTCATCTCCACACATACTGCTCTTTCTGCTTCTGCTCTCTCTATTTCTCACAAAATGTCTGAAATAGTTAAGTTTTTACTATTTTTCAGTGCATTCTGGGCATTTTGGAAGGTCTCCTGAAGTTATCTTTTAAAACGCTTCTGAATGCAAACGCGCATAAACGCGATATGCAAACGCGGCTAAACTGATGTTTTTTGACCTACATTTTCCAGCAGTCAGTTTCCATCGTTCAGAAGACTTTTCCAAACACCCCGTGTACATGAGCCCTAAAAGGATTTCCTATATGATGAATGGAAGCTTGCTTGGAGCATGAGAAGAACCCTCCACCGAGGTCTTGGGCAGCAACAATATATACACACCCTCCCCTCACCCAACACCATACATACTATTCCATGATCAAGGTCAAGTCATTTTTGCAGTCGAAGGCGTCATATAACTGGATCAGGTTCACATGGTTTAACTGGTTCATGACATTAATTTCATTCTTCACCTCGTCCTGGAAAGAAAAAAAGGGACAAATTACCATTTTTTATTGACATATCTATTCCCCCATACAAGGCGAGTAAATATACTGCTAATTATTCCCACTGCCTCACTAGACAACATCTCCATCCTGACAATTCTGCGGGCCCGGTGCCCTTTTCTAGCCCTCCCATCTTGCCATCTAACAAGGATCTGACAGCGACTCCCACTGAGCGACTTATGAATATGCAGATTTACCCCACAGCCGTTTGACAGATCGGCCGCCGCGCTGCGTCTCCACGCTAAAGGCCAGCTCTTCAGGAGGAGGCTGAGATCACACAGGACGGGTTCAAATATTGAAAACATATTAAAATATTGAAAACATATTAATGAGTTGTCTCGCCTCAGCCCAAGGCTACAGTAAAAATAACAATTCCTGTCCGTATTTTAAACCCATAAGTCGGTTCCTATACCAGAGCTGTTGTATAAAGAACTACGGCCTGTAGGGCCAAACCCAACCATGGAATTTTTATGTGAACTTTAACGTGTGAAAATCTTTTGAATTTGTTGTTCATTTCAAAATTTGTTTGCAATATTAGAATCTGTATTTTTCTTTAATATAGAAAAAAAATATTGTTGGGAGGGGAGTTGCAAGGGAAAATGTTGGGTGGGGATTAAACAGGGGCACCCTAGGGTTGGTGTCACCCGGTGCGGTAACACTTAGTGACACCCCCGCCAACGATCCCCGCAGAATGGTTCGGATCTGCGGATCAAGCATAACGGATTGGAGTCTGATCCATTATGCTCCCCAATCCGCAGATCCGATCCATCCTGCGGGGATCGTCGGCATGCCACCTATACGGGGTGACACCGGACCCGCTCCACAAAAAGGTAAGTTGTAAAGCAAGTCGACGATCTCCGCAGGATGGATCAGATCTGTGGACTGAGCATAATGGATCGGAGTCCGATTCATTATGCTCCCCAATCCGTAGATCCAATCCATCCTGCGGAGATCGTCGGCATGTAACCTATACAGGGTGACACCGGACCCGCTACACGAAAAGGTAAGTTGTAAAGCAAGCCAACGATCTCCGCAGGATGGATCGGATCTGCACATTGGGGAGCAGAATGGATCGGACTCTGATCCATCATGCTCAATCCGCAGATCCGATCCATCCAGCATGGATCGTCGGCTTGCTTTACAACTTACCTTTTCGTAGAGAGGGTCCGGTGTCACCCCATGCGGTAGGTGTCACCTGGTGAGGCCCGCACCTGCCTAGGGATGTCCCTGGAGTTAAATAAATAAGTGAAGCTCCAGGATGAGGGGGGGAAATTAAAATGGGAATTGGGCTTTAATGTATCTGGAACTGAATGTGGTAAAGGGATATTAAAAAACAAAAATTTTAAATATTGCACCTTATAAATCCTTACATGTGGTGGCTGCATTAGTTTTCTTTTTTTTTTTTTTGCCAATATTTTTCCCCTGGTGATCTAGCCAGTAACACACTTCGTGACTTGGGGTGTCACCACTCAGGATGGAGGAACAACAGAGCCACCACTGGACAGCAGCATTGTCAGTCTGGGGAAAGGGTAGTGCTAGATGGACTAGCAGATTTAGATGCATTTGACTAACAAATTTCAGCTGAACTCCAGCTAACACTTTATAATCATTTACAGCAACTGTGTTTTTCTCCATTTGGGATGAAGATTTTACATAAATGAATAAAAGCTGACCATTGTAAGCAGGGCCATGGATAAGGGGGTATCACCAGTCCTCCTGTATGGAGCCCAGGCCAGCAGAGGAGCCCAGGTAACTAGGTGAATTTGATGCGGGCAGGGAAGATGATCAGCATGGGGGGGGGGGGGGGGGGGCGATTACTGGAACCGATCCCCAGCAGCAGCTGAAGGCTGGTTTCTTCCGCTGTCCCTTCTGCTGGATTTCAGCTGCTGCAGAGAGAGCCATACAGAGGATCAGTTCCAGTAATTGCCCCCTCCACCACCACACCCATCACCCTCCCTGTGCACCATACCTTTCCCCCCCACTGCCCAAGCCCTCCTGTGTGCACCCACCCCCGCATTGCTGCCAGCTTCCCTCCCACCGGCAGCTGCCAGCACACAACAGGATCCATCAGGATGGAGAGTGGGTGACGGGTACGGTAAATATGTCATATCTAACAGCCCCTTCCTTTCAATGAATGAATACAATGAGTGATCAGTACTGATCACTCACTGTGTTCATTCATAACTGAAGCATAGTAAACAGAGATTTTTTTTTTGGGAGGGGGCCCTGTCAGGCTGGCTTTATGGGGCTCCATGGTTTCTAACAACAGCCCTGATTGTGAGCACAAAAAAGAGAGGAAGAGGCCCCTAAGTGCAGTATTGACAATTTATTAGTGAACAATAGATACATTGCACTTACAAGATACATATCTATTGTTCACTAATAAATTGTCAATACTGCACTTAGAGGCGCTTTCCTCTCTTTTTCATGTTTACTGCATTAGAGCCTTGCTTCCACTCTAAGAAGAGCTGCCTCAGTGTTACTGCTCCCATCCATCCATCCCTTATATCCATCTGGCACCTTTATCCTAAAGCCACAGAGGTGGGGCTCTAACAAGCGCCCTATATAATATACATCTCCTGATTGTAAGCACCACTGTCATTGGTAGATGGTTTGTCTCAACCCTCTAAGTGCCATTTTTTGCCGGACAACTTGTCTTGTTAAAGGAAGTTGAAATTTAACAGACTTGCTGACTAGCTCACCAAGTGAAAATAAAGAAAAAAAAAGCCTTAAAGCTATTCCCTATGGCGAATTTATTCCAGCCAGACGCAACTGCTCTACGGAATAGGCTTTTTGAGAGAGAATGTATTAACATCATATCACGTTTATCTGACAGGGGTTATGGTAGGGGTCTCATACAACCAGGGGCGTCCCTAGGGTTGGTGCCACCCGGTGCGGTAACACTTGGTGACACCCCCTCCAACGATCCCCGCAGAATGGATCGGATCTGTGGATTGAGCATAACAGATCGGACTCCGATCCATTATGCTCAATTCGCAGATCCGATCCATCCTGTGGGGATCGTCGCCTTGCTTTACAACTTACCTTTTCGTGGAGCAGGTCCGGTGTCAATAGAGTCATTAGAATCTATTGGTGAAGGCAAAAGACATTTTATGAAATATTAAATGTCGGGCAGCACAGTGGCTAAATGGTTAGCACTTCTACAGGGGCGGACTGACCATTTGGAAACTTCAGGCACTGCTCGAGGGCCCGGGGTCAGTAGGGGGCCCTATGAGATGCCCCTGGTACCTTTTTCATAGGCTTTTTTGAGTTTGGGCAAGGACACAGGGGCCCCATGATCCCCTATTCCCATGAGTTGTCAGTCTGCCCCTGGTTGCATGCTCACGATCCCAGCAGGATGGATCGGATCTGCGGATTGAGCATAATGGATCAGAGGCCGATGCATTACGCTCCCCAATCCGTAAATCCGATCCATCCTGCTGGGATCGTCGGCTTTCTTTACAACTTACCTTTTTCTGGAGCGGGTCCAGTGTCACCCCGTATAGGTTGCATGTTGACGATCCCCGCAGGATGGATCGGATCTGCAGACTGGGGAGCATAATGGCTTGGACTCCGATCCATTATGCTCAATCTGCAGATCCGATCCATCCTGATCGTCAGCTTGCTTTACAACTTACCTTTTCGTGGAGCGGGTCCGGTGTCACCCCATGTGGAAGTTGTCACCCGGTGCGGCGCGCGCCCCCCGCACCTGCCTAGGGACACCACTGTATACAACGAGGCTTGAAGAGAGCTAGATCAAGGAATGGAAAAGGATCTTTTGATTGATATGGCAAAAGAAGAAATGTCATCGTGGTGAAAATGGTCCAGTTACTTTTGTCACCATTTTAGAATACCATCAAAATAATAAAAATGATTTATGAGAATCTACCTATCCTGTATGCAGATAGGTTTGTATACGGTGTTACAAAAAGATTGTCGTTTTTCGAGCCGACGAGTGCCTACTTTTGGCACTCACCTGTCACCTAGTCTTTTTCTTTCTTCTCAACCCTCTAAGTGCCATTTTTGCCGGACAGCTTGTCTTGTTAAAGGAAGTTGAAAATTAACAGATTTACTGACTAGCTCACCAAGTGAAAATAAAGAAAAAAAAGCTATTCCCTATGACCCCCTTTCCTTCGTCGGCTAGAAAAACGACAACCTTTTTGTAACACCATATACAAACTTATCTGCATACAGGATAGGTAGATTCTTTTAAATCATTTTTATTATTTTGATGGTATTCTTTGGAATAAGTGGTGACAAAAGTAACTGGACCATTATCATCACGATGACATTTCTGTTTTTGCCATATCAATCAAAAGATCCTTTCCATTCCTTGATCTAGCTCTCTTCAAGCTCGTTGTATGAGACCCCTACCATGACCCCTGTCAGATAAATGTGATATGATGAATACATTCTCTCTCAAAAGCCTGTTCCGTAGAGCAGTTGCGTCTGGCTGGAATAAATTCGCCATCAACCTACCTGGCTGACTTGCACGGGCAATTATCCTCGTAGTAAGAAAACTCGTAGATATTGCCATTTAAGTGTAGCAGGGAAATCCTTCTCTTCTTTGTCATCTGGGGAAGAGTTTCCCGTACAACAATATATAAACTGTGGCACAAGTTTTGTGATCAATTTAACCCCTTCAAGTCCGGACACTTTTACCCCCTTCCTATCCAGGCCAATTTTCAGCTTTCAGTGCTATTACACTTTGAATGACAATTGCGCGGTCATGCAACACTGTAACCATATGAACTTTTTTAGCATTTTTTTTGAGACAGATAAAGCTTTATTTTGGTGGTATTTATTCACCACTGGGATTTTTATTTTTTTTTGCTATGTAAATGAAAATGTCCAAAAATGTTGAAAAAAAGTGTTTTTCTTATAAAATTTTGCAAATAAATAATATTTCATCATAAATCTTGGCCAAAATTTATTCCGTTACCTTTTTTTAAAAAAAA